TGTCTTCTAAAAATCAATGGAAAAAATATCCTCCGCTAAGGATTTTTTAAAAAAGAAGCAAGTAAGATTTCTGAGAGGTAACAGATGCACTTGGCACAATTCACACTGTCAATGCTCAATAGCCAATGAGCACGAGGAGCAGATAGGTGGACAAATGAAGTTAGACAGCAAGGAGAGCACACCCCAGAGGGACCAGAGTGCTGGACAAGAGGTTCTTGAGAAGGCTTATGCAGGGTGAGTCTAAGGATTTAGGAAGTGAAGGGGAACTCTGTTTTGAGCATTATCAGGAATTCAGTAATTGGATATTTTGGTAATCTGTACCTGAGAGGGGAGGAAAATAAAAGTGGATAAAGAAGGAGTGACTAGTTGACCTCTTCCCACCCATCCACCCACCCTCCGCTTCCTCCCTTCTGAGGTTTGACAGTTTGTTCGATGCTTCGACGTCTCTGGATCTATTTTTGTTCATCAGTTTATCTTGCTCATTATATTCCACGTATGAGTGAAATCATGTGATACTTATCTTTCTCTGACTGCTTATTTTGCTTAGCATATGCATATACGCATAACCATGGGCACAGACAATAGGTTGGTGAAGGCCTGGGGTGGGGGTGGGTTGGGAGAGGTCAATGGAGGAAAAAGGGGACATGTGTAATACTTTCAACAATAAAGATTAAGAAAATAAAAAATAAATAGAAAATTAATGAAATTGAAAGGAAAAAAAGGAGTAACTACTAATTTTAGCGAAGGCTTTTGTTTGTTAAGAGTCTTTGTCCTTCTTTTGTTCCAGACATACTCACAGAGTGGCCTTTTCTTGGTCTTGTTCCGTCTCCGTCATGGAGTGGCCTTGTCTAATTATTGCTTATATTCTGTAAAGGTTTTTCATGTTCAGCTGAGAACATTATGGTTGATGTGTCAGCCCTCATGGCCAGGGCCATTTCCTTGTCTTCTGTTTCTTCTTCTCCTTTTCTTTTTTCTCCCAGAGGCCAAAAATATTTCATGTGAAGCTCACTCCCCAAATATCAAATATTTCTGCTATAATATTTTAAAACCAACAATGACAAGAACAACATTCAATTAATTTTCCCCAGGAGTCCTGTCTGATTCCTAGCCCCTTCCACTCTATCCAGGGTAAGAATGATCTGAAGCAGTTCCAAAGAAAGCAGTGTGGAGTCAGCCTCCTTCAATGATCCTGCTATCAAAACAAAGAGTCTGGAAATTAAGGCCTTCATTAAACGTCTGATACAGCTCATGAATGCAGGTATTCAAGGGCCGCAGCCACACTCACTGTATGTCTCAATTTTCTGTACTGTCTGGGTCAACAGTCAGTGGTGTATACAGCTCTGAGAGCCACCTCTCGCCCAGCCTTCCCAATACTGGTTCCGCCACTGTTTTCCGACTCCTTTCCACAGCTGTTCTTCGAGTCTGTTCAAACATTGCTTCCAAACCAAATGTATGAGCCTTTTCCCTGAACCCCGTGCAGCCCATGGTGACTGCCAGCTGCGAGTCCAGTTCGACGCCTCAGAGCCTGTCAGTTCGCTGGGCCCCGGGCGCTTCATCACCGCCGCGCTGCAGAGCCAGCGGCAGCAGCAGCCCACACAGCAGCAGGACCGGCACTGAGAACCCGGCTTTTGTTTTTAAATTCTTTATTGTTTAAAGTATTACATATGTCTTCTTTTTTCCCCATTGACCTCTTCCCGGCCACCGCTTCCCCCCCCCCCCCCACATGCCCTCACCCCCCTACTGTCTGTGTCTATCGGTTATGCTCAAATGCATGCATACAAGTCCTTTGGTTGATCTCTTACCCCCCGACCCTTCCCTCTGAAGTGTGATGGTCTATTCAATGCTTCTCTGACTTTGGATTTGTTTTTGTTCATCAGTTTGTGTTGTTTATTATATTCTACAAATGAGTGAGGTCATTATGCTTATTTCGCTTAGCATAATGCTCTCTAGGTCCATCCATGCTGTTGTGAACGGTAAGAGTTCTTTTTTTTTACAGCAGCATAACATTCCATTGTGTAGATGTACCACCATTTTTTAATCCACTCATCTACAGATGGGCACTTAGGCTGTTTCCAGATCTTAGCTATGGTGAATTGTGCTGCTATGAACATAGGGATGCATATGTCCTTTCTGTTTGGTGTTTCTTGTTTCTTGGGATATATTCCTAGAAGTGGGATTACTGGGTCAAATGGGAGTTCCATTTTTAACTTTTTGAGGAAACTCCATACTGTTTTTCACAGTGGCTGCACCAGTCTGCATTCCCACCAGCAGTGCATGAGGGTTCTTTTTTCTCCACATCCTTGCCAGCACTTGTCATTTGTCGATTTGGCCAGGGCCATTTTCTAAAAACTTCTCCATACCATCAATAATTCCCGCTCTTTATTTACATGTTTATTTTATTGGAAATAAGACCACTCTATCCAACCTTGGCCACTCTACCCAATATGCTGGCACATTGGCTGTACTCCTATGGACTTCACTGTGGTCTTCATGCTGGAACGATGCTCAGCTGAATAGGAAAAATGCAGTTTGCTTTACATACAGGAGCTTTGACTTTAGATTTCCTTCCCAGGCTAGTGGAGACTGATTGCTCACCCGATGATTTCTCCACAAAGAGAGTATAGAGCTGTGGCCTGTGGGATTGGTACGTGTTCCCTTGAGCATCTGTGGCCCTATGCACTGAGACAGGAACAAAGAAAGCAATCTTTATTAGGTAATTTCCTGCTAAAGGAGAGAGGAGCTTCCCAGAGGAGGAAGGTTTCATGTTGCAAACTTTAGGAGATTTCTTACTGACTCTGTGTGTGTGTGTGTGTGTGTGTGTGCGCGCGCGCGCGTGCTCGCTTGGGTGGTGAGGGCATTCTTACAGTGTCTGTCACACACATGTTGAAATAATCCTTGTGAATTCTTATCACTATTAACATTTATTGAAGATTAATTAATGTCAGCTACTATGATTTCTTTTCATTATTTTATCTATTACTAAAACACAAAATTTAAAATCTCACAAGCTCTGTATTATTATGAGAAACGAGGTTTGAAAGCTTACCAACCCCCCTCTTCTGCCTTCCCTCTGAAGTTTGATGTAACACTTCAATTTTCTATTAACAGCCACTTACAAAGGGACACTGCTGGTGAGTGGCAGGGTTGGGACGTAAATCACATTCTAAAAGCTTCTAAATCCCGTGCTCTTAATGGCACATGCAATTAAAGCAACATTCTGCGTATTCAGATACTTATAGCTATTAGGCTCCATCTAATATCACAGAATCAATATCTCCAGGGCTGAGATATAGTTATTGGCACTTAAAAAAAACTTTCCATGGTCATTCAAATGCTGCTATTTAACAATTGGTATTTAGAGACCAGTCATGTAGGCTACATATTCACACAACTTGGAGTTGGGAAATTGCCTATATTGTTGTTGTTTTTTTGTCATCATGTATTCATCCATCCAATATTAATAGAATACCTACTGTGTCTAAGACTCTACACCAGATGTTAAAAGGTCATAGAAAACAATTTAGTTCAAGAGCTTTATAGATAATAGTGAATGTCTTTTATGTAAATAAATAATTTAGATAGGAAGTGATAAAAAGAATGTTTATTAATGCAAATGAAGTGCTGTGGGTCTTCAGTGGAAGAAGAAATTATTTCCAGGGGTAGGACATTAGTGGGAAACAAATGTTGAGATGGAAAAACTTCAGGGAGAGAGTGATGTTTGAAGTTCTGGTAAGATTTGGGAATATGAAGGGTATTTTTCACATGGTGTATGTACTGATTAGTTGTCTATGGCTTTCTAACTTTGAAGAAGTAAGCTGCCATGCACAAGGGGTGATGAAGAGGGCCATGTGGCAAAGAATTGTGGATTGCCTCTAAGTGATGGGAGCAGCCCCTGCTGAGAGCCAGCAGGGGGGCAGGACTCTCAGTCCTACCACTGCAAGGAGATGAATTCTGCCAATAACATGAGGGAGGCTAGAAGCAGGTCCATCCCAGTTGGGCCTTCAGATGAGTTCCCATCCCAATTGACACCTTGATTGTAGCATCTCAGAGGATGCAGATTCCTGCCCATAAAACTGTAAGATAATGAGTGTGTGTGTGTGTGTGTGTGTGTGTGCGTGTGTGTGTGTGTGTGTGTGTGTGTGTGTATGTTTTAAAGCCCCTACATTTTTGGAAATTTGTGATGCAGCAATAGATACAGACTGTAGACTGGTAACAATACAGATTTATTTCCTTATTGAGGACTATTCACTTTTTTTTTGTCTTGCCTTACTAAACAATACCATAATAAACATCTTAAACATATGTACTTATGGACTAGAATTCTATTGTACAGATCAATTTGCAAGGTTGGAATTCTGAGTTAAAGATTATTTTTAAGTGAGGCGGGAGAGGCTTCTGCCACTGCCACTGTGCTCCCCAGCCATGAGCCTGGCTTATTGTGAGAAGGATGTCTGACTGCCGGCTTAGGGATCAGGCCTGAGCCAGCAGTCAGACATCTCTCTGAGGCCCCAGACCGCTAGAGGGTGCAGGCCGAGCTGAGGGACCCCTCCCCCACCAGTACATGAATTTTCATGCACCAGGCCTCTAGTTAGATATAATTGTATTACTAATTCACAAAATTAGCTTTTGTTATGCACACCTATACTTTGTGCATATGTTTCACTTAATAAATGAAAAGAATAATAAAAAGATTATTTTTTAAAAAGATATTGCCAGATTCCTTCTAATGTGAAGTAACACTTCAATTTTCTATTAACAGTATGTGAGAGCATAATTTTCCTTACATCACAGCATTTAACAGGCGTTATCATTCTTTGGCAGTTTTGCCAGACATGTTTATAGAAAGCGGTTATCTCATCATGACTTTAATTTGCAGCTCAGTCTTAGTAAAAATGAGCAACTTTTCCATGTTGCTTGACTTTTTTGTTTTGATTTCTTAAAAATTAGCACTACTGGTCTTGTTGTTTCCAAGCACAGAGAATTAGAAATTGAGGATCAAACTAGAGGCACTTCTTTCCAATCCCTTTCAGAGCTTCCTTCACATCTTGGTTTCTCAGGCTGTAGATGAGCGGGTTTAACATGGTGATCACAATGCCGTAAAACACAGAAGCCATTTTTTCTTGTTCTCGAGACTCCTGGGACCCATGGTGCAGATACATGTAAGAGAGGGTCCCATAGAAAATGGTGACTGCTGTCAGGTGGGAGGCACAGGTGGAGAAGGCTTTTCTTTTCCCTGCAGCAGAAGATATCTTCAGGATAGCAGCCAGGATATATATGTATGAAAAGATGACGACCGACACGGTGAACATCAAGTTAAACCCCACAAAGATGGTCAGGAACATGATGTTTAAATCAACGTTGGAGCATGAGAGAGCAAGAATTGGGGGTTCATCACAGAAAAAGTGGTTAATTTTCTTGGATTTGCAAAAGTTCAGTGAGAAAGTAAGACTTGTATTTATGGAGGCATTTAGGAAACCCATGAGGTATGAGCCAACTAACAGTTGAATGCAGACTCTCTGGGTCATGACTACTGGATAGTGGAGTGGGTTACAGATGGCCACATAACGGTCCACTGCCATTGCAGCAAGGATATAGCAGTCACTTGTTGCAAAAGTACCATAGACTAGTAATTGCACCATACATCCTATGAATGAGATGGATTGTTCTGTTTCTAAAAAGTTTTGCAACATCTTGGGAGTGATAGCAGAAGTGTAGCAGAGATCAACAAAGGCCAAGTGTTGGAGGAAAAAGTACATGGGGGTGTGAAGGCAGGAATTAATCTTGATGAGTAGGATCATCCCAGTATTACCCACAAGGGTGGTCACATAAATCACAAGAAATACTATGAAGAGGATATGCCAAGACCTGTGCTGCCCAGCAAATCCCAGAAGAATGAATTCAGTCACCTGAGTGCCATTGTTTTGTTCCATGACTAACAAAGACTAGATACCACCTGAAAAGATACATAGAAAGAAACGCAGAGAAAGCTAAGATCATTGTGATCCTTGAACTAATTCTATAATTGCAAATGGTATAATAATTTGGCCTCACAGTGGGGTCAGAGAATATTTTCTATGACATAATTGACTTACATTTTAAAGGCTGAACTTTGACACCTGACTGAGATAATTTCATCTGCAGTTGAGAGAAATTGCCATGGACCAGTAGCTGTATTCCCAGGGTGAAAATAGATTGGCATTTCATAAATGTGTCAATTCTAGAACATACAAAACATACTTTTATTTAATTATATTTTCTTTTATGCCCTCACTATTTTTTCAATGTGCCTAAATACTAATCATTGCATCTGAGATTTTGATACACCTGTTGAGTTCCAACTTATTTTTGTAGTCTGATTTTATCTTTTTCTCCTTCTTAGTGACTCTTTTCTGCAATCAAGGGTTCATGGACACATGGAATCCTTTATGGATGTGTTTATCAAAGTTTTTATGGTAAAAGATCATTTTCTTTTTAACACTTTCTGTCTGTTTTGGACCAATATTTTGTAAAAAGCTACAAAAAGGTCTCAGCATTATTAAAAATCCTATAATAGTTTTAAATGTGCAACCTCATTTTCTATACTTATTTCATCATAGAGTGGAAACAGAGAGTCCTAGGACTGGTGCTGGTTCATGGACCACACATTGAGTAACATGCTGTATGATGTCCATCCACTATAATTTACCTATGTGCTTTCCTAGTGATGGATAACAGATTGCCTACAACTTGTCTGCACTGCAAATACCTCAGTGTGAATATTTTTCTATAGTATAATCCTAGAAACAAAATTTTTGGGTCTGAGGGTATGCACACATTTAACTTAACAAAGTTTTCTTAGACCATTTTCCATAATGTATGCACCAGTATGAACTCCTACTAATCATACATGGGGGTGAGGAGGTGCCTATCTCCTAAATTCCTGTGAACATTTTCTTAAAATAATATCTCATTTTTATAAGTTTTTTCTCCCTTAATTACAAGTGGACTTGACCATTATCTAGTATTCTTAGAATATTGGGATTCTGTTTTTTGTCAATTGCTTGTTCACATTTTTGGTCAGTGTTTCTGTAAGTTGCCTCTTATTTTATTATTATATATTTTAAATTCTCACCTGATGATATTTTTCCATTGATTTTTAGAGAGAGAGTGGAAGAGCAAGAGGGAAAGACAGAGAAATATAGATGTGAAAGAAACACATTGATTGGTTGCCTCCTGCAGGAGCCCTAACCAGGGCTGGGGCCAGGGAGGAGCCTAGCAACTGAGGTATGTGCCCTTGACCGAAATTGAACCTGGGACCCTTTGGTCCACAGGCTGACGCTATATCCACTGAGCCAAACCGGCCAGGGCTACGTTTCTTTTTAGATGTTCTTTGTCCCAGATTTTAATCTTTATTCCAGATTTGAATTTCTTGTTACCTGTTAATGTGAGAAAGAGTTTCTTACAGTCTATCATCTGTTAATTTTGTCAATAATATGCTTTATAGAACTAAAATCCTTAAATTTGAACTAATAATTCATCATTTTTGCTTTATTATAGATTTTTTTTTTAAAAAAATAATGGAATAAATTTCATTCCATTCCCTTGTTTATTACCCCAGGAGACTAAAAAGCAATAATAAAAATGTTTCCTTTCTATACTGGATTGCAGACACATTGTAATTCTTGCACTGTGAACACTTCATATCATGCACATAATTTGAAAAATATTACTATGTTTCTCAATATTTACTTTTTTTAAAAAAAGAAAGCAGGCTAACAGCACAGAGAGAGTAGTCAGTGTGTGTGTGTGTGTGTGTGTGTGTGTGTGTGTGTGTGTGTGTCTATGTTTGTGATTCTGTGTGTGCAAAATATTTAAATATTTTAAAAACCATTAAGTGATTTGACTTGTTATTTTAAAGCTTACTCACACAATACTTGGCTCAACTGTGCTATAGGAAAATGTTACCAAACATTTATGGAACAACTAATTCTAATATACAATCTTTTCCCATAACTGTCAAAAGAGAACATTCCCAATTCATTTTGTGAGGCTAATGCAATCTTGACAGCAAAGTAAGTAAAACTTGAGAAAAGAAAATGGAAACCAATGTCACTTGTGAATATAGATGCAAATATCTTAAAAATGCATGTCCACAATCAAATGCATCCCTGTATGAAAGAAATGATTGCTGGGCCTCAAAGGAGTTTCCAGTGAACAGCTATTCACCTCTTTCTCAGGATTTGAACAAGTTGAGGAATAAAGATAGTGTCTATATGGAGACCATACTATCACGTTCAGCCGCTTGGGGAAAGATTTACTTAGTCAAGTTTCTTGCTGTCAGTGAACAATATAACTACACAGGCTTATTCACCTAGTTTTGGTGGCAGTGCCTGGGGGAGACCTCTTGCACATTTTGGGGAAGTGCCTCTGGAATGCAGAGTAACATCGGCTTCAGCAGGCTGGCTAATCCCAAGAGGGAAAGGGCAGAGCAGAGTATGCCAGGCTGTTCTCAGGTTTGCCAGTCTGCCATGTTACTCCACCTTGCTGGGAACTGAGGGAATAAAATGGGTGGAGGGTGCCTCAAATGGCACAAATTTAGGTCCCTTTGCAAGAAAGAATAATCAGAAGCAGGAGAAAAGGTATTTCCCATCTGCAATCAAGACCAAATTGTATACACGTTATGTTTCTTTCCAATGTTAATTTATAAATTCAAGGTCATTTCAATCAAATGCTTGAAAGAATTTTATGTGCACCTCCACAAACCTACAAAGTGTATATGGAGGAGAAAAGAGTTAAAATAATTGAGAGAATTTTAAAGGAAAACAAGGTGAGAACTTGTTGGAAGTTACTATAAAGAAGTAATGCTGATACTATGTGGTATTAGTGTGAGGGAAGACACATTGATCAATGCAACCGAGAAAAAGAAATTATAAAAAGACCCACAAGTCTATAGAAGCTTAATGTCTGAACACAGTAAATGCACATCAGTGAATTATGGTCTATTAAGCTGTGGTGCTATAAATGCTTAAACATATGAAATTATAATATTGTACTCCTACTTTACATTTTACGAAAACCAATTCTAAATGGATTAAATATTTAAATCGTAAGACTTTGAGAGTAAAACAGAAGACTATATATGACTTAGATAGGCAAAATTGTTTAAACAAAACATGAATACACAAAACATAAAACACTGAAAATTCAACTATACCTAGATTTAAAACACAAACATTATATTAAAAAATACTGGATGTTGACTGGAAATTTACTCTGGTAAATTTATTTGCAACCCATATAAATGTCAAAGAATCAGTATCCAGTATAAAGAAATAATTTCTATAAGTTATCCGAAGAGAAAAATTCATAAAAGAAAGGATCAGGATAATCATAGAAGAGAAAACCTAAATAGTCAATAGAAATGTGGAAATGTACACAACTCACTAGCAATCAGGTAATTGTATATTAATACTGTATTGAAATATAATTTTTTACTCAGTATAAAATGTAAAGTTTTGGTGAGATTGTAGGGTCACATATTAGCAGTCATGTTGGAATCAAATTTGGAATAATTAGTAAAATTAACTATATGCCTCCAGAATTTCCATTATAGGTCCATATACTAGAAAAAATTTCACCATGTAAACAATGACACATACATATAAGTATATGTATGACTATAGATATACGCACACAAGAATGTCCTTAGCAGCATTATTCATCATAGAAAAATATCAACAAATCACTGAAAAGTCAGTCAATTGGTGTTGTAAGATATGTGAATAAATATCACAAATGGAATGCTAAGTAATAAAAATCAAGTTGCAAAAGTGAGATGAATGGTGGTTACCTTATTTTAAGTGTGTTTTTATACACCTGAAATGTTGTGTAATAACAGAAATTTCTCACCAAGAAAAAAACCACATCATCAGTACGTCAGTCGAGGGCCCCTTTATTCTGATGTCAGAAATGCCAGGCAGAGCAGTAGCTCCATGGACAAGATGGTCAGTTTTAGAGAAGGATGTGCCTTCAGTGATGGGAAATACAGCAAATTAAACCTGTGGTTGATGTGCACAATCTGGTTCTTTCAAATATCTTGAGAAATGAACAAGCAATACCTCGTGATAACTTTGTGGTGATGAAACAAGACACATTCTGTTTAATGCAACATTTGGTGAGGGCTAAGGGCCAACACATTTGTGCAGTTTCCTCTTCAGGACAATTTGCAAATTAAAACAGATTACATTAAGTCTTTTCAAGGAGGCTTCCATCCAGTAGGTAAAAGCACTTGTCAGAGGAAGCTAGAATTGGTCATGGGTTCACTTAAATTAGGACCTGGATAGGGTAATGACATTTACCATATCAATTTAATAATTTTGAATTGAAATAAAATGTGTGACATATTGGGATTCCTTTTTCAAGAGCTATGGAAAACCAGTACAAGGGACTCCACACACACACACACACACACACACACACACACACACACACACACAAGCATGAGTGCCACGTGCCCAAGTATGTTGAACATGCTTAATTTAGCTTGAACCGGTGCTTCTGAAGCTTTATTTATATTAAGCATTGTGCATTGGGAAGGACACAGGCTGACCTGAATTTGAATTCCATTCCCATCACTTCATAGAAACAAAGAATGTACTTCCTTTTGGCTTCAGTTCCATTCTCTATAAAATGGGATCACAGAATCACTTAGAAGGTAATGACTGTCATTGTAACACTATTTGCAATTGCAGGACTTTGTAAATAGAGTTAAATAAATCAGAGTAGGTTCTTATTATGGATCAATACATACTCCAAAAAGAATGAGTTATATACCTGTATGGAAAGGAGCCCATGTCATATTGTCAAATGAGCAAAGTAAGTTTCAGAATGATGCATAAAATGTGGACCCTTTAAAAAATAAAACTTTCACTGCCATACTCTCTTTTTCTCA